AAAGGAGCAAAAGAAAATTACAACTTCAGATCCTAATATTCATGATATTCAAGAAAGTAATAGTTTTGTTGAAACTTATGACAGATTATCAGGAGAAAGTAGAATGCAACAGAGTGAAATTCATTCTGACATTCCCATCAGTGATATTCCTAATAAAGTGTCTGATAAAGACGGTGAAAAAGTTACTGTCGGAGAGCAATGTGAACTTGCAATAAGTGGTGGTTCTGTTGAAACCTATCACAGATTAACAGGAGAAAGTAGAATGCCACAGAGTGAAATTCATTCTGACATTACCATCAGTGATGTTCTTAAAAAAGAGTCTGATAAAGACATAAACTCTCACATTTTTGTAACATCAGGTGAAGAAAGAAAGAAACAGAACCAAATTACAACTTCAGATCCTAAAATTCAAGATATTGAAGAAAGTAATGTGGGAGAGCAATCTAAACTTGTTATAAATGACGGTTCTGTTAATACTTATGGCAGATCATCAGGAGATAGTATAATGCAACAGAATATAATTCATCCTGATGTTCCTATTTGTGATGCAATAGGAGAAGAATCAGAAAAAGTTGCAGATCTATGTATTATGAGTGGAACTAGTGAAATAAAGGAAGTTCAGGGTAAACATAATTTAATTTCAACTGCTGACTTGAATAAGATTGCTATACAAGAAAACATTCCACACTCTGGCGTTGAAGCTATTAATGTTGCAGCTTTGGAGAAAGAGAAAGTTAAAATTCCATTGCTGTCTGAAACTTTAGAAAATGATGATGTAAATGAGAAATCAATTACTGAAATGATAGAAGAAACTAAGATTGAAACTGATTCTGGTGTTCTCAGTAATATTAGAATAACTGAATTAAATTTGTCACAAACTATTATTACATCTCCTGTTACTGAGAGTAAAGTAGAAACTCAAGTAAAACTTTTTGCGAGTATTGAAGATGCTGCAGAAGCTCTCCCTGCTGTAGAGCAATCAGAAATTTCTCCAATGGAAGATTCAGTGACTGATACTTGTCTTTCACAAACACCACTTGAATTCGATGCAGTTGTTGACAATGTATCAGAAAAAATATCTCAAATAGATGCTGCAGAAGTTCTCCCTGCTATAGAGCAATCAGAAATTTCTTCAGTGACTGATACTTGTCTTTCACAAACACCTCTTAAATCCGATGCAGTTGTTGACAATGTATCAGAAAAAATATCTCAAATAGATGCTGCAGAAATTTTCCCTGCTATAGAGCAATCAGAAATTTTTTCAATGAAAGATTCAGTGACTGATACTTGTCTTTCACAAACACCACTTAAATTCGATGCAGTTGTTGACAATGTATCAGAAAAAATATCTCAAATAGATGCTGCAGAAGTTCTTCCTGCTGTAGAGCAATCAGAAATTTCTTCAATGAAAGATTCAGTGACTGATAATTGTCTTTCACAAACACCACTTAAATTCAATGCAGTTGTTGACAATGTATCAGAAGAAATATCTCAAATAGATTCTTTGCCTGTTTCGAAAGTTACTACTGCTGAAAGAAACGAGGAAGAAATTTCTGATGTAAAAGATTTAGATTATCTAGCTCCAAATGTTGCAGCAGATATGGGCACGGTTAAAATAACTCAGCAGGTTACAGTTACTAAATCCAAACAAAGTGTAAATAGTTCTTTTCCTTCTCAAAACTTAAATCAAGTCTCTTCTGACAAGAAGACAGATGATGAAATATGTTTAGCATCAAAGGATTTAGCTCCAAATGTTGCAGCAGATATGGACACAGTTAAAATAACTCAACAGGCTATAGTTACTGAAACCAAACAAAGTGTAAAAAGTTCTTTTCCTTCTCAAAACTTAAATCAAGTCTCTTCTGCTATGAAGATAGATGATGAAATATGTTTAGCATCAAAGGATTTAGCTCCAAATGTTGCAGCAGATATGGATACTGTTAAAATAACTCAGCAGGCTGCTGTCACTGAATCCAAACAAAGTATCAAAAGTTCTTTTTCTTCTCAAAACTTAAATCAAGTTTCTTCTTCCAAGAAGTCAGATAATGAGATGCGTCA